TTCCACGTGCGTTCACCAAACTCCGGCACCGACATCGTCATCCACGTGGCCGGAGAGAGCGGGGTCTCCTGGAGCTGCCTGGGCTCCGAGGTGCGGGCAGGGGGCTGCAGCGGGGTGTTGGGGGGGTGATGTGGAGGTCGGTCCCCATGGTGTGTCCCCCCCCCCGACCTTCTCCAGAGTCGCCAGCACTTCTGCGACTTCCCCGACATCGCCGACATCAGCATCAAGCAGGCCAGCAGGGAGGGCAGCCCCGTGGAGAACCGCGTCGTCACCCTCACCAAGACCGACAACAGGGTGCTGGTGAGCCTTGGGGGTAGGGGGGGGAAGCCTGGTGGGGTTGTGGGGGGGTTTTGATGTTAGGGTTGACCCCCCCCACCTGCCTGGCTGCAGGAGGTGGAGTTCCCCACGCTGCAGGAAGCCCGCTCCTTCGTGGCTCTCATCGATGGCTACTACCGCCTGACGGCAGATGCCCACCACTACTTCTGCAAGGAGGTGGCCCCCCCACGGCTCCTGGAGGATGTGGAAAACCAGTGCCACGGGCCCATCAGGTGGGTGCTGGGACCCCCCATCCCCTCCCCTCCCTCATCACCCCCAACCCACAGGCACTGGGGAGGGGGGAGAAATCACTCAGGTGGGAGGCACAAAAGTGGGGAGCACTGGGCAGGTGATGCCCAAACCACCCCAGTGCTCGCCAGGTTTGGGGACACCGTGGCAGAGGGATGAGCTGCATGGAGGTGTGGGTGTCCTTGGGGTGTCCCCGAGGGGGGAGCAGGCTGTGCCGGACCCCAGCCCTGCCCCCTTTGCAGCTCCGAGTTTGCGGTGAACAAGCTGAAGGCGGCGGGGAGCCGGCCGGGGCTGTACCTGCTGCGGCGCAGCCCGCAGGACTTCGACAGCTACCTGCTGACCGTCTGCGCTGAGGTGAGACTGGCACCACCACTGGCACCACCACTGGCACCACCACTGGGACCACCACTGGGACCACCACCAGCTGGGGACCAGGGTGCCAGCACCGCACGGCATCGCCCTGGGTGCCACCGGAATCACCGGGAACGGGGAGGGAAACACAGAGGGAAACCAGTCCCTGGTGCTCGCAGGGATGATGCCACCAGTGCCAGCCCTTGGGGGCAGGCACAGCCCCGGGGCTGCCCTGTGGGGACCTGCAGGGCGGGAGGGATTTTGGGGGGGATTCCTTGAACCTGACTCTCTCCCCGCAGACCCGCTCCGGCCAGGATTACAAGCGCTGCCTGATCCGCCGGGATGAGGACGGGAACTTCTGGCTCTCGGGGGTGTCCCGGCGGTTCTGCAGCCTCAGGGAGCTGCTGGGCACCTACGGGCACTGGGGGCTGCAGGCAGAGGGTGCCCGCATGCGCCTGGCTGCCTGCTGCCCCCCCCTGCCCAAAGGTGATGCCGGGGCACTGTGCCGGGGGATGGCGGGGGTGGGGGGGGACACACAGCAGGGTGAGGGCTCTGCACACCCGTGGAGGTGTGATGTCACAGAACGGGCTGTGTGATGTCACGGAGCAGGCTGTGACATCACAGAGTGGGCTGTGTGAGGTCATGGAGTGGGCGATGGCATTGGAGAGTGCGCTGTGACATCATGGAACTGGCTGTGATGTCACAGAGCGGGCTGTGACATTGGAGAGTGGGCTGTGACATCACAGAACAGGCTGTGACATCACAGAGGAGGCTGTGACATCACAGAGTGGGCTGTGTGAGGTCATGGAGCAGGCTATGGTATTGGAGAGTGGGCTGCCACCAACCAGCATCCCCCTCTCGTGGCAGGGCGAGAGCCTGGGCCAGGGCTCCTTCACCCAGATCTACAAGGGCATCAAGAAGGAGCAGGGGGAGGACGGGTACCACCAGACCGAGGTGGTGCTCAAGGTCATGGACGGCAGCCACCGCAACTGCTCGGAGCGGGCTATGGCGTTGGAGAGTGGGCTGTGACATCATGGAACTGGCTGTGACATCACAGGGCAGGCTGTGCCATTGGAGAGTGGGCTGTGTGACATCACAGAGCAGGCTGTGACATCACAGAGCGGGCTGTGACATCACAGAGTGGGCTGTGACATCACAGAGCGGGCTGTGTGACATCACAGAGTGGGCTGTGTGAGGTCATGGAGCAGGCTGAGGGCTCTGCACACAGAACGGGCTGTGTGATGTCACGGAGCAGGCTGTGACATCACAGAGTGGGCTGTGTGAGGTCATGGAGCGGGCTATGGCGTTGGAGAGTGGGCTGTGACATCATGGAACTGGCTGTGACATCACAGGGCAGGCTGTGCCATTGGAGAGTGGGCTGTGTGACATCACAGAGCAGGCTGTGACGTCACAGAGTGGGCTGCGTGAGGTCATGGAGTGGGCGATGGCATTGGAGAGTGGGCTGTGACATCACAGAATGGGCTGTGACATCATGGAATGGGCTGTGACATCACAGAGTGGGCTGCATGAGGTCACAGAGTGGGCTGTGTCATTGTGGAGTGGGCTGTGACATCATGGAACTGGCTGTGACATCACAGAGCAGGCTGTGTGAGGTCACAGAGCAGGCTGTGCCATTGTATAGTGGGCTGTGACATCATGGAGCCGGCTGTGACATCACGGAATGGGCTGTGACATCACAGAGTGGGCTGCGTGAGGTCACGGAGCAGGCTATGGCATTGGAGAGTGGGCTGTATGACATCAGGGAATGTGCTGTGACATCACGGAGCCAGCTGTGACATCACAGAGCGGGCTGTGCCATTGTAGAGTGGGCTGTGTGACATCACAGAACGGGCTGTGACATCACAGAGCGGGCTGTGACATCACAGAATGAGCTGTGATATCACAGAGCAGCCCCCCCTTCATCAAGCTCAACGACCCCGGAGTCAGTGTCTCCGTCCTGGCCAAGGAGAGTGAGTTCTGGGGCTGACCCAGGGTGGCAGGGGGGTGGCAGGGCCCCCCCAGTGGGTGCTGAGCAGGGTTATCCCCCTCTCCCCAGTGCTGGTGGAGCGCATCCCCTGGGTGGCCCCCGAGTGCCTCAGTGACCCCAGGAGCCTGGCGCTGCCGGCCGACAAGTGGAGCTTCGGGGCGACCCTCTGGGAGATCTTCAGTGGTGGCAACATGCCCCTGAGCCTGCTGGAGCCCCAGAAGGTGAAGCTGTTCCGTCCTGCATCCCAACCCTCCTGTCCCATCCCGCTGCATCCCAACCCTCCTGTCCCATCCCACTGTATCCCAATCCTCCTGCCCCATCCTACTGCATCCTGACCCTCCTGCCCTGTCCATTCTGCCCCAGTCCCACCACATCCCAACCCTCCTCAAGAAGGTGCTGCTGACCCGGGAGGGGGACGCAGCCAGTGGCAGCCCCCCCTTCATCAAGCTCAACGACCCCGGAGTCAGTGTCTCCGTCCTGGCCAAGGAGAGTGAGTTCTGGGGCTGACCCAGGGTGGCAGGGGGGTGGCAGGGCCCCCCCAGTGGGTGCTGAGCAGGGTTATCCCCCTCTCCCCAGTGCTGGTGGAGCGCATCCCCTGGGTGGCCCCCGAGTGCCTCAGTGACCCCAGGAGCCTGGCGCTGCCGGCCGACAAGTGGAGCTTCGGGGCGACCCTCTGGGAGATCTTCAGTGGTGGCAACATGCCCCTGAGCCTGCTGGAGCCCCAGAAGGTGAAGCTGTTCCGTCCTGCATCCCAACCCTCCTGTCCCATCCCGCTGCATCCCAACCCTCAGTGGGTGCTGAGCAGGGTTATCCCCCTCTCCCCAGTGCTGGTGGAGCGCATCCCCTGGGTGGCCCCCGAGTGCCTCAGTGACCCCAGGAGCCTGGCGCTGCCGGCCGACAAGTGGAGCTTCGGGGCGACCCTCTGGGAGATCTTCAGTGGTGCCAACATGCCCCTGAGCCTGCTGGAGCCCCAGAAGGTGAAGCTGTTCCGTCCTGCATCCCGACCCTCCTGCCCTGTCCATTCTGCCCCCGAGGCACCACATCCCAACTCTCCTGCCCCATCCCACTGCATCCCGACCCTCCTGCCCTGTCCATTCTGCCCCCGAGGCACCACATCCCAACTCTCCTGCTCTCTCCCACTGCATCCCCCCCTGAGCCTGCTGGAGCCCCAGAAGGTGAGGCTGTTCCGTCCTGCATCCCGACCCTCCTGTCCCATCCCGCTGCATCCCAACCCTCCTGCCCCATCCTACTGCATCCTGACCCTCCTGCCCTGTCCATTCTGCCCCAGTCCCACCACATCCCAACCCTCCTGCCCCATCCCATTGCATCCTGACCCTCCTGCCCATTGCATCCTGCCTCATCCCACTGTATCCCAAATCCTCCTACCCCATCCCATTGCATTCCAACCCTCCTCCCCCATCCCATTGCATCCCGACCCTCCTGCCCTGTCCATCCTGCCCCAGTCCCACCACATCCCAACTCTCCTGCCCCATCCCACTGCATCCCGACCCTCCTGCCCTGTCCATTCTGCCCCCGAGGCACCACATCCCAACTCTCCTGCTCTCTCCCACTGCATCCCAACGGTCCTGCCCCATCCCGCTGCATCCCAACCCTCCTGCCCATTGCATCCTGCCCCAGTCCCACCACATCCCAACTCTCCTGCCCCATCCCACTGCATCCCTCCTGCCCCATCCCACTGCATCCCAACCCTCCTGCCCATTGCATCCTGCCCCATCCCATTGCATCCTGACCCTCCTGCCCTGTCCATCCTGCCCCAGACCCACCACATCCCAACCCTCCTGCTCTCTCCCACTGCATCCCGACCCTCCTGCCCCATCCCATTACATCCCCAGCCTCGGTGTGCAGTGGCTGCTGTGTCCAGCGCTGCAGGGACCAGAAATAACCAACCCCCCTCCCAGCTCAACATCAGTCAGTGTCTCCGTCCTGGCCAAGGAGAGTGAGTTCTGGGGCTGGCCCGGGGTGGCAGGGGGGTGGCAAAGTCCCCCCAGTGGGTGCTGAGCGGGGTTGTCCCCCTCTCCCCAGTGCTGGTGGAGCGCATCCCCTGGGTGGCCCCCGAGTGCCTCAGTGACCCCAGGAGCCTGGCGCTGCCGGCCGACAAGTGGAGCTTTGGGGCGACCCTCTGGGAGATCTTCAGTGGTGGCAACATGCCCCTGAGCCTGCTGGAGCCCCAGAAGGTGAGGCTGTTCCGTCCTGCATCCCGACCCTCCTGTCCCATCCCGCTGCATCCCAACCCTCCTGCCCCATCCTACTGCATCCTGACCCTCCTGCCCTGTCCATTCTGCCCCAGTCCCACCACATCCCAACCCTCCTGCCCCATCCCATTGCATCCTGACCCTCCTGCCCATTGCATCCTGCCTCATCCCACTGTATCCCAAATCCTCCTACCCCATCCCATTGCATTCCAACCCTCCTCCCCCATCCCATTGCATCCCGACCCTCCTGCCCTGTCCATCCTGCCCCAGTCCCACCACATCCCAACTCTCCTGCCCCATCCCACTGCATCCCGACCCTCCTGCCCTGTCCATTCTGCCCCCGAGGCACCACATCCCAACTCTCCTGCTCTCTCCCACTGCATCCCAACGGTCCTGCCCCATCCCGCTGCATCCCGACCCTCCTGCCCTGTCCATCCTGCCCCAGTCCCACCACATCCCATGTCCCTCCTGCCCCATCCCATTACATCCCCAGCCTTTGGGTGATGCTCAGGGCTGCTGAGGAGCATGGAGGCTCCTGGGGTGGGGGGGGGCAGAGAGCTGGGCACCCCACAACCAGCCCCAGCCCCCTCTCCTGCCCCCGCAGAAGCTGGATTTCTACCAGAGCAACCTCCAGCTCCCGGCACCCAAGTGGACGGAGCTGGCCACGCTCATTGCCCAGTGCATGGACTACCAGCCCGGGCGCCGGCCCTGCTTCCGCGCCCTCATCCGGGACCTCAACAGCCTCATCACCTCCGGTGAGCCCCAGGATGGCGGGGGGGGTGGGCTCCGGACCCCCTCCCGCTCCCCCCACAGCCCTCACCACCCTCCTTCCCCAGATTACGAGCTGCTCTCGGACCTGTCGCCCGCCGAGGTGACGCTGCGGGACAGCTTCTGGGGGTACGAGCCCCTCGCCCTGTGCCGGGACCCCGCGCACTTCGAGGAGAGGCACCTCAAGTACATCTCACTGCTGGGCAAGGTGAGGAGGAGGGGGGGGACAGAGGGGGTCCCCATCCTGTGCACGACTCAATGCATGAGCTTCTTGCAACACCCCCTCCCCTTTTTTACCCCCGTTTGGGGCACAAAACACCCCCTGCCCGTGGGGGGGATGCTTTGTCCTGTAAAAATGATAGATGTTTGGTTTGTGGGGGAGGATTTGGGGTGGACCAAGCATTGTGGGGGGGTCTCTAGGGCAGCACCCCATCACCCTGCACCCCTTTCCCTGGCCAGGGCAACTTTGGGAGCGTGGAGCTGTGTCGCTACGACCCGCTGGGGGACAGCACGGGCGAGCTGGTGGCGGTGAAGAAGCTGCAGCAGGATTCGGCCAAGGAGCTGCGGGATTTCCAGAGGGAGATCCAGATCCTGCACTCCCTCCAGCACGAGTTCATCGTCCAGTACCGGGGAGTGTGTTACAGCCGGGGTGAGCACGGCGTGGGGCAGGGAAGGGGCAGGGAAGGGGCAGGGGGTGATGCTGCCTGCACCCCGACCTGGCTCTGCCTGCATCCCGGCTGGAGGATGATGGATTTGTGCTCAGGACGGCGCGGGCTACGGCTGGTGATGGAGTACTTGCCCAACGGCTGCCTGAGGGACTACCTGCAGAAGAACCAACCCCGCCTGGACCATAGGACCCTGCTCCTCTACGCCTGGCAGATCTGCAAGGTGGGACTGCGGGGTGGGGGGGTGGTAAAGGGGGTCCTGTTCTCCAGGAATGAGGGGACACATGGGGATGGAGCGCTGTCATGGGTCACTCAGGGGGTCTCAGTCCAGTGGGGGGGACCCCGGGGGTGCTGCTGGGTCCTGGCCCTGGTGAGCAGTTGCGTCCTGCGCAGGGCATGGAGTACCTGGGGTCGCAGCGCTGCGTGCACCGGGACCTGGCCAGCAGGAACATCCTGGTGGAGAGCGAGACCCACGTGAAGATCGGGGATTTTGGGTTGGCCAAGCTGCTGCCGCAGGACAAGGAGTATTACGTGGTGCGGGAACCCGGCCAGAGCCCTGTCTTCTGGTGAGAATGGGATGAGAGCAGGGAGGGGGGTGACATGGGGCTGGTGGCCCTGCTGGTGGCCCAGCCACTCATCCCCCCCCCGGGGGCAGGTACGCACCTGAGTCCCTGGCAGACAACATCTTCTCCCGGGCATCCGATATCTGGAGCTTTGGGGTCCTCCTCTACGAGCTCTTCACCTACAGCAACAAGAGCAGGAGCCCCTCGGAGGTGAGACCCCCACCCCTCTCCCCAATCCATGGGGCTGGGGTCCTGCTGCCCCCACCCTGGACCCCTTACCTTCAGGATGAGACCCCCCACCCCATCCTGATGGCCATCCCCGTGCCCGCAGGAGTTCCTCCGCATGATGGGCACCGAGAAGATGGCGCAGATCATCTGCCACTTGCTGGAGCTCCTGAAGGACAACCGGCGTCTCCCGGCCCCCGCCGGCTGCCCCGTGGAGGTGAGAGCCCGGGGAGGGGTCCGGGTTTTGAGGGGGGGGGCAGGTTTAGTGGTCCTGGGGGCCACCCTGCTCCCCTGACATCCCTGTCGCTTCTCCCCAGGTCTACACGCTGATGCTGAGCTGCTGGACTTTTGCCCACGCTGCCAGACCCACTTTTGGGGAGCTGGCCCCCAGGATCGAGGCGCTGCGGGACG